TTAGGTTATCCAGTCATGATCAAGGCTTCCGCTGGTGGAGGTGGCAAAGGAATGAGAATTGCTTGGAATGACGAGGAAACAAAGTAGGAAATGTAGTTTCTTCCTTTCTATTTAATTCTGTTACCACACTGTTGGGGGCAATTAGATTGCAAGGATCGCCAGTGATTTCAAAGTGAATATGATAAAGCTGTGAATATGATCATAAGATCTGAAAGACATACTGTTTTTCTATCAGAGAAGGGTTTCGACTCTCATCCCAAGAAGCAAGATCCAGTTTTGGAGACGACCGTTTGTTAGTGGAAAAGTTTATTGACAATCCAAGGCACATTGAGATTCAGGTACAGAATGCTGGTAACATAAATTAATATGCTCTGATTGGCAAACTATAAATATCCTTCATTATTCATCTCAGCAAAACTAAAGATATGCATGCTCCCTTGTGTTTTAGGAATAATTATGTTAAAATCATCTTTTTGTGCTATATTAACTGGGTAATCAGTATACTGATTAAATGAGTAGTAATGATTCACCACATGAATGTGTGGAATGTTGCTCAAATTTATTTTGCTGGTCCAGAGTACAAAGTTTTTTAACAAATTTGGTTTCATTCTTTTTTTTTTTTTTAATCCTTTTCCTAAGGTTCTTGGAGACAAGTATGGGAATGCTGTAAGTTTTCATTTAACAGTTCAGTAACAGTTAAACTTGAATAATTTCTGTCCATGAGCCCCATTCACCAGCTTTTTATGCACTGCATGTTTAACATATCATGAAATGTCACAAACAGGTGAGCAACAAATTGGTGTACTTATAACAGTCTTTTGTTCCTAACTGGCCCAGAAATTTCCTTTCATGTTGCCTCAACCCCTAAGCAGTAGACTTAACTAATTGCTTTTTTTAAGCATTTGTGAATTGGGTTTGTGTAACGGTGCAGAATATTGGATCAAAGTTTCTAATTTTATGCATTACACATAGGTTTATGTGAATGAAAGAGAATGTTCTATCCAGAGACGGAATCAGAAAGTCATAGAAGAATCACCTAGGTAAAATTAAAGTTTCTGTTTTATATGTATCAGGGGTGGATCCAATAAATGTTGATGATAAGGAAGGGGGGGTGCTCAAACTTTGATAGATAAAACACCAATTTTTTTACACTCTAGCCTGGAAATATTTCTCGACAACTATCAGTTGGTAATTTGTGAACCTGTCATTGCAAGAATTTTCTTCTTAAACAAGTAGTAAAAAATTCACTGGTTTTTAAGAGGAGGCAGGATGCAGACAACTTACACCCTCCTTCTAGATCTGCCAATGTGTATCTATCATGCAGTTTGTTGAATGAAATATGGTGTTTTGAAACAAAGCTGACAACCATTTGTTTGCAATGATTTTAACCCTTTTAACTCCGAAGATTTCATTAGTAATTCTCCTTACTGTCTGCCATACAATTCATATAATGTTGGTTAGGAGAATTTGGAATTGGATTAACCAATAATCCCCTAATTGATATTTTTCTTTATTCTCATTACTTGTCTGCTTGATATTCTATTGATATTGTAAGGAGAAATTTTGTCTTGGTCACCAGTGGGACCTAAAGGGTTAACTCTTTAACTCTCTTAAGCTGGCCCATATAACTTCCTACAATTTTAGTGCATTATCACCCACTTCTGTCTCTATAAATATTCACCATTCACAAAAACTATTGACAGAAAATACTGTCTTTAATATTTTGTGGTGATCTAATATATATATTTTTTCCTGTTAGCCCATTTGTGGATCCTGACATGAGAAAAGCAATGGGTGAACAAGCTGTCGCACTGGCCAAAGAAGTTGGATATGACTCAGCTGGCACTGTGGAGTGTTTGGTTGACTCACAGAAGAACTTTTATTTCCTAGAAATGAACACTCGTCTGCAGGTGGAACACCCCATCACTGAAATGGTTGCTGGAATTGATCTAGTGGAACACATGATCAGAGTAGCAGCAGGTATGAGAATCCTGTTGTATGAAAAGAAAAGGGAAATGAAATGAAGTTATAACTTGCAGATGAGACATGAGTAACTGATTCTGACTGGTGAACTGCAGGAAACATTTTTCTCAAAAGAAGGCTTGCTGTACTTTTTAGCTCAATATTCATTTAGGAGTTTCATTTAGCAGCCAGGTAGTGGGTTACTTGCCCCACTTGTAACCTTAACATAATCGTCACTGTTCTCATAGCATACTTAATTTGGGATAGACCTCAAATTGCAGGGGAATGAAACTGCTCGAGTCTAAACTTTTAAAATTTCCCCAGGCAGCTCAGAGCTCCCAAAAAAATTGGAGGTCTCCTTGTCCCTAATTATTTTGAAACCACTGTACATTTTTTGCGGGGATGCATTAAATTCCCTAAACTGACATGCTTTGACGTGAGTAGATACCTTTACAATAAATTTTTGGTGCGGATTTGCATTTCATCGTTGAAAACAAAGTCAAGCTAAGTTTCTTTTGATCTTGTTTCGTGTGACGTCTTTCAGATCATCCGCTTAACATCACGCAGGCTGATATTCCCATCAATGGCTGGGCTGTTGAGTGCCGTGTGTACGCTGAGGTGAGGCATGTGGAAAGTTTCTTTGTCATTAGCTATGCTATCCAGGGTGAAAATCATTACCTGATGCTTTTAAAAATTCTCTTTGAGTATCACCTTGATCACACATTAATATGGGCAAGGAGAAAATAATCAGTGATCACAAGCTTAACTTTGACCGTTTCTTGTCTAGGATCCATACAAGAATTTTGGTTTGCCATCCATTGGAAGGCTGTACAAGTATATTGAACCAACTCATCTACCAAATGTAAGTAATTTGACTCGAACATCAAACATCTTTATTTATTTATTTATTTGCAACAACAGACAGGCTTGCCCAATTCAGCTTTAAAGCTGGTTTAAATGGAGGCTTGTATGAACAATAACAAGGCCAGACCTTAACATAGGGAGTTACGTTCCCGACTTTTTGTGAGAAGTGTGTGGATTCTTTAACGTCCCCTGATAACCAGTACTGGGAACATACGGGAGACAGGACAACGGTTTATCGTCCTCATCGGAGAACTGGAATGCCTAACGATTTGCGCATGTCATAACAAAGGCAACACATTCCCCTCACTTATTTTAAGACCCTGAGTGCTCTTACTCAAATTGACTCGGCTAACAGTGTTCCTCTCTGTTTTGTTAGGTTCGCTGTGACAGTGGTATCATTGAAGGCAGTGAAATAAGCATTTATTACGACTCCATGATATCGAAGGTAAACATTCCGGATCAATATCAGTATCTGGGCAACTGTCCACCTACCCCTCCCCTAACCCAATAACAGTCAATTGATGACAAGTGAGGGTTAATGTTGGGTTAGGGGAGGGGTAGGTGGGCAGTTGCCCAGATACTGATATTGATCCAACATTCCTTGGCGATTTTAGGGTAAATTTGTGTTCAATGTCAGTATCTGAGCAACCGCGCACTGCGTACTCACCCCTCCCTTAAGCCAATGCGATGGATGCGCTATTTGTCACCTTTCTGTGTCCTTATTTCTATGAAATAATATCCTATCCTTGCGGGCAGTTTTTGTGATTTCTTAGCTAAAAAAATGTCTCTTATCAATATTTTAGCTGGTTACTCATTCGCCGACCAGAAATGAAGCTCTTGATCTGATGAACAAGGCGTTGGATTCTTATGTTATCAGAGGTAACAGTGAAATAACGGTCAAACCGTAGGGTGTTATGCGCAACTAGAACTACGTTGCACAGCAAAATAAACAGCACCATATCATAGAACTGCTCTGTAGCTTCACACGTTTGGTGTTATCCACAGACTTACAAGTCAGAATCATCGTGCGCAACATGATAAACAGCTGATGGTCTCACACACAAGGGTTTTATCCTCAAGCTTGATCGCGAAAATTTTATGTTGTCAAGAGCTTGAGAAAAAATTGTCGCCCATGAAGAAAAAAATTAAAAAAGCAGCGCGTGATCCGAATATTTGGGATTCAGTCTCTCAAAGGGAATCAGAATCCCACGCTCCTTCATTAATTCACAACCTAGCTCAAAATTAACCACATTTTGTTCTCTGATATTCTGTAGGTGTCACATACAATGTTTCACTTCTCCGTGATGTTCTTAACCATCCCAAATTCCGCCTCGGAACCATCACCACGAAGTTTCTTCCTGAAGAGTATCCAAGTGGATTTAAAGGTGAAGCGTGCAAGAAAAACTAACTAACAAACTAACTTGGCGTCAGGGTCATTGCGCGATAATTTCGTTTCAGACAGTTTACTTTCACAGAGCTTCTCCACAAAAAAAAAAAAATATTAATGGTTATGGCTTTCAGAAAATTCTCAGGGAACTTGCAGAGCGGGGATAGTAACCTTACTAGCGGTGGAGTTTTATCCTTTTCAAGGGAGGTAGCACAATTGTGGCTGTTTGAAGAAGTTGGCCACGAATCGTTGTTGAATTTGTTAAATCTGGTTTTTATTCAACATCAGGTCATCAGTTGACTGAGGAAGAAAGAGATGAACTACTGGCCACGACAGCCTATTTCTTCGTGCAAAGAGCAAGAAAAGCGATGGCCTTCAAGAACCAAAGCAAGTGAGTTATGGGAAAAAGATTGGGGAATAAAGAAGACAGAACCGAACTGGTGTGACGTGCGCTACCGCACGCGCGACTTCTGCACGCGCGCTCTGAGACCTTAACGTCAGTATTGTTACGTGTACGATTTTCATGCGTGTGAGTTTTCAGTTTTGGTGGGTCGCATTTTTGAGGATCTTCGTTTGGATTCTTAGTGTAAATCGTGTTTCCCTTTGGGTTTTTTCTTTTTCGTGTGATGAAACGCGCCTGTTTTCGAAAAGTTTTCCGTAACCGCTTTCGAAAACGTCCACCGCAAAGTAACTCCCCGAGATTTTTTTTCGTTCCTCGAGCTAACAAAACGGTAGCAGTTTGGAGTCAGGTCACATGAAAATTGCTGTTTTTAACAATCATTTTATTTTGTTTTTAGGCTCAATGCTGTGAGCAAGAAACCATCTGCGTGGGACCTGGTAATTACTTTGCAGAAAGCTGATTATCCAGTTGTGATACAGGCCAAGGAAGACGGAAATTTCGAGGTTAGCCTGAAAAGGTCTTCTTGTCAAAACTATGCGTAGATTAAAACAACACCCAAAATTTTGGTCACCATGATGGAAGAATTTTGCCCTTCGTGCATTTTACTCCTTCCTGTTTCCTGTGTAATTATAATTTAAATTTCAATGTGATGTTGCTTTGCGAGTTTCATCTCTAACCGATTATGGAAAGGAGCGGAATGAGGAGCCGTTTGTACTAATTGAATGCTAAGTTTTGTCGAATAAAATTCCCAAAAGGACAGGAATCTTCTGAAGAGTTCGATTAAAGAGTGAATGGTGTGGATGAAAGAGTGTTCAGTTTACTTTGAACAAATGTGAACTAAATGAAATTAGGGTAATGGTTAAGTTTTGTGGGACAGAACTAGGATGCCAGACATCTATAATGAACTGTGAATAAATGAATTGTAAAATGGCCAGCGTTGAGGAAGGGAGACTTGTTTACTTGTCTGATTCACACACCCGGATCAAAGGATACCCAACAATACTTGTTGAGGATTTTAGACGGACAGACGATGGCGAAGGTGGAAGTGAAATTTACTTACCGTTCCTGTCTTAATAAAACTTGACATAGGCTAAGATTTTCTTAATTCTGGCTGCGTTGTAGGTCAGCATAGATGGAAAGCAAGTGGATTTCAACACATCCTCTGGACTGTCAGATCCGGTATTCGGAGCCAAGATAAATGGAAATGATGTTTTGTTACAGGTAAGATTGGGGTTAATTTTATACTATCAGTTGTCCAATAACCTATCAACAATGAATGACTTTTCCTTGCCTTCTTCTGCAGACTTTAAAGAAAGAAGGAAATCTCTTCGCAATCCAGCACTATGGAACAACAGTAAGGGCATCAGTTTAATACAAGTTAGGAAAATTTACCCGACGGAGGAACTGCGGGTAAAGAAGATTATCGAATATGGAAGCGATCTTCGTAGTAATGAACAGTACTTCGGCAGCAGTGAAAATAAGGCTCGAAAAAAAAGAGAGGTCTTTGGTTCAAATCCTGTACAGGCCTGAATTTTTCATATATTTACAATCAAAGAAGATAATCATTGTCCTCATTAGGAAAATTTAGGAGACTGGTGCGATAGTTGTAAAGACGTTCTCGTACACCGTTGTAAGTCACGTTTTGTTTTTGCAGTACAAGCTACGAGTGCACACGAAGGATCAGTACGAGTACATGAAGTACATGCCAGAGAAACAAGAGGTTTGGTGAAATCTTATGAGCGGGAAGGAATTCTGAGACAAACTAATTACTTGAAAACACCTTTTTATCTTTTATATTATGTGGTGAAGCGCTTTGATCACTGAAAAAAGCGTTAACTCTTGACAAAGAAAGAAATCCCAATAAGATTTGAGTTTACGTGGTTGACTTGAATTTGCCTATTCAGATGTGTGAAATGACTTTTCAGTTGACTTTTGTTCGACTTGCCGTTATCAATCTGACTTCATTTGACTTGCCTTTCTTTGAACCCATTCGTTCAACCTCCACTTTCTCTCGTTAGTTGATTTGCTCGAAATTTTTCTTAGTTAACTTGACTTGGCTTTTGATCTCGTTTAAGTAACTTTAATTTATCACTGGTAAATTCAATTTTGATGGAAGATAAGAAAATCTTTTAATGTATATATATACTTTCTATTATCCAGGAGGACATGTCCCCATTCCTCAAGTCACCCATGCCTGGCACAGTTGTATCAGTGGCTGTCAACGTCGGTGACACGGTAAGACATGCATTGCGAATTCACATAATGAAACTTTTAGATTCTTCGTCACGTAATCTCCCTGCCTCTTCGTCCGCGCGAGGGCCAAAAAACAGTCTACGTGACAAGTTCACAAGAACGTTCCTCCCCCTTCTTTTTGCATGGTAAGCCAAGAAATTGTTGATTGAGAAGCACGTACAAGTGACCTCTACGTGCACACGCAGGTGACCTCTGCGTGCACGCATTCGCAAGGATAACTTCTACAAACACGTGCGACTGACTTCGGCGTGCGACTGCTTGGCTTGCACGCAGATGTCACTTGCACATGCACGTTCAGATGCTCGTGAAAGAAACAAGTTCGTCCTAAAGACGGGTAGATTTCAAGTGGCTGTGAAGCATCTGTGGAACAGAACTCAAATAATGCAAGTCACATCGGCGTTCACATGCTCGTAGTTCCAAACATGATTTCAGTTTAACTGTACATGCATCTTGAATCTAAGCCACCAAAAGTTGACCATGTATTAGTTGGCGTCAAATGAATTTAAAATATAACTCATTCTCTATGTCCATTATTTTTTACGTCAGGTTCATGAAGGACAGGAGTTGGCAGTAGTGGAGGCAATGAAGATGCAGAACAGTTTGCATGCAGGACTTTCTGGAACTGTAAGTAAACGATGGAAAGATAATGGAGATTTTATTTCAAATTTGTCATCAATTTTTATTTTAAGCTCTGATCCAGGGTCTCAGGGTGATCCCCTTCCACCTAGATGCGAGTTAAGTCTGGAGCGAAAAGATTTTTCCCATTTTTTCCAACATGGCCTTGTACACGGCTAAAAAAAAAGGAAAGAAGCCATGGAGCGTTAAGAATTCTGAGCTTATTTTATTTTGTTGTACAGATAAAAAAGGTGAATTTTAAAGCCGGAGACAAAGTTGGTGAAGGAGATATTATGGTTGAAATTGAACATCACCCCGACCACTGAGACGGCAATTCTATTCTAGGAGGAAAAGTTTATCACAATTTTCAGGTCATGTGAATTTTTGTGTGCTCATGGAAGTGACTTCCGCGCACAAGTCTCGTCGACTTCTGCTCGGAAATGCCAATGACAAAATGAACTGACTTCTTTGTGCCCGTGAAAATGACTCCTGTGAAGCTACAATTGCTGGCCTACTAATGAAGTAGGGAGCTCGTGTATGCTTATTATATGTACATGCAAATGAACTGGCGTCCTTATGGGGCGCGTGCGGGTAATCATAGGCGTGCCTGCGCGTTTGATCTCCGTATGAACTCCTAGGTGACTTCTATGTGCATACACAATTGACTTAAGTGTGCACATAAAGATTACATCTGCGTGTGTGTACTTGCGTAAGTGACTTCCGGGAGCATTCACAAGATTTACTTCTGCCCGAACGTGCAACTGACCCTTGCGTGCAAGCACGCTCAACTCACTTACGCGTGTGACTTCAACGCTTGCACGCAGATGACACCTGCACATGCACGCGCAAATGACTTCTGCATCTACGAGCAATTCACTTAAACACGCCTTATATCGTACGTGAAAAATTTTATTAATAGTTTGGTGAAGGTTGACGTTGTATCAAGTCATAATTTCAGCAAAACTTTGTGTTCGGATGTAATTGATTTGAGTTCGTGTGTAATTTAATACGCATTGCTGAAGGTTCTAAATGTTTTTTCCTGAAAGTGTGTGAGAACTTTCTTGAACATATTATGGCGATATTGTAATACACTTTGGAACCTCTATCAAAGTCTTAGTTACTACCTCTCTATGGTGCATCAGAATATGAAATTTTTGGTCAATCTTTGTTATAACGTTCGAAGATTTTAACTAATTTTTCAATCAAAAAATACCATCAACACTCGCGAATTCTGTGGACAGGATCAAAACAGTTTTGATTAAATTGGTGACAGGACCTGGTGTCGTCCAATTATGACTGTAGTCGTAATCGTGATAAACAAATCACTAGAACGGTTACGGACCGAATTGGACTCCACTCGGTCATATTACCATGACCTATTTTGCAAATGTAAAGAAACAGTCAGAACTCAACACTCCGTTCCTAAAATGGACTGTGGTTTATGCACTTTTAGAAGAAGGAAAACTCATTTTAAAATCTCAGACGTATTGAATGTGGCTTTACAGCGTGGAGGTGAATAAAATGGATAAGAGCTTTTCAAGAAACGTGTCGGTACTGTTATTGTAGAGAACTATCCTATCATGATGAAACTTGTTTCGTACTAGTATCCAATTTTGGACACGAATGTCCAATTTTGAACACCAGTGTCTGATTTTGGACACTTGTGTCCGATTTTAGACACCAGAGTTAGATCTTAGACACCAATGTCCGATTTTTGACAATAGTGTCTGATTTCTGACACTTATGTCCAATTTTAGACACAACTGCCCGATTTTAGACATTTGTGTCTGATTTTTAGAAATTTGTGTCCTATTTAAAGCTGGGGAATATTCTTTCACGTGATACGTTTTGACCAATGGCGAATGAGAATACCAGACGTATTGGACGAAGCTATGTTGTGGGAACGTGAATAATACTGATAAGACATTTTTGAGAAACATGTGTCGGTACAGTTTCTGTGGGGAACTATCCTAACCAGATGATATTTTTTTTCGACCTTTGATGCAAATCTGAGAAAAAAAACAACAAAAAAACCAAACATAGGAAAAAAAAAACAGAAACAAAAAAAAACACTTGTCTTAAGCCCGGGTCGCATTTGATTTTTTTTTTGTTTGTTGTTGAAGTTAAAAATCTGTCTACAGATAGCGTAAAATAAGTGCGACCAACATTTGAAAAAACTTGCCAAATGTTTCCGAGTCGCTCACAATTTTCGCCAATCTTCAAAAGAATCGATGTTCTACCACGGAGGCGTCAAATTTTGGCACAACAAACAATCATGTCTCTTTTTTTTTTTAACCATCTAGCTGTTATGTTATGCAGAATGTATTTGAACAAAAGTTTCATCGGGAAAAATTTCTTAAGTCCGCTTGTCTTTGGCGTGCGATGGCAGGATTTTCCTAGCCCAACTCACCCTTTTTATTTCAAGGGATATAAATTTGAGCGCCGCTTTTATTGGCAGCAATTTTGAGAACATATGGCTTCAACGAAAAATTCTTCCATTAAAGTATCGGAGCCATATGTAACACAAGCGTCAACTAGACGCATAGGATAAGCAGGAAAAAAAGATCCGCTCTTGCGTGGCAAGAAAATGCGAAAGTTTTTGCTAATTTTTGATTCGCGTTCATTTGGTTAATATTTGAATCCGCTCCAGTGCGATGTGGTCCTACGTAACAAGCAAAAATACCCTCCCCTCCCGTACATATTATAACGTATCTTTGCCGCCAGTCTTCTCACGGTGAAATCAATATTTGGCGCGAACATGACATCACAATGATGGCGTCCTCGTCAGTGATTCCAGCTTGGTTGATTAAAGCAAAGTCAACCGTCACAAAAACAGGGAAAAAAGAAATGAAAGACACAAGTAATTCATTAAGTGCTTCCGCTTGCAACGGAGAAAGTGAAAGAGCAAAGGAACAAGAAATGAAAGACACAAGCACTCCTTCGATTGCTTCCGATTGCTACGAAAAAAGCGAAGGAGCCAAGGAACAAGAAATGAAAGACACTAATGCTCCTCTAGATGCATTCGATGGCGAGAAAAAAAGCGAAGGAGCATTAGCTCCTGATTTATCAGTAGAACAGAGACGGAAAAACAGACGCGTGGCACGAAGGCGTCAACAGAAACGAAGGAAACAAAGACTTAAGGAAGAAAAGAACGAAAATAAGGTGCGTAGGTTTGAAAAACTTGTCACGGAGCGGGCTTTAAAAATGGAAGCCGATCTTCTGGAAACTATGGAAGCAGAGAGGAAAAACGCAGCGAAATATCTGTCACTTGCGCGGAAATACTACGGCATGTGGAAGGCAACGAACGAAGAACTTCAACTGTTCCGTCAACATGAGAAAGCATCGATCGCTGAAGGGGATTACTCTACATCCAAAAAGGTAAAATTTCGTTTTCATTTAGTCCTTAAGTC